GAATAAGGACCAGAAGGCAGGAGGGGACAGGAAATAGGGAACCCAAGGTCGAGAAGGGAGAGTGTTGGCATGTTGTGGGGTTGTTAACAATGTCGTAAAACAATATGCATACTAACTGTTTAATGGGAAACTAGTTTGTTCTGTAAACCTTCATCTAAAGTACAATTTAAAAAATATATATTTAAAAAAAAAAAGATTTGGGCAACTATCCTTGGCCTGCCTCTCACCCACATCCCAAATAATCTTTCAGATATCCCTCATGCATTCGTCTGCTTGGGGACCTCGGTTTCAGTCTCTGCTCCAGCACTAGCAGCATGATTCTGGACAATAATCAGTACTCTACAATCCAGGATCTCCCAAATAGCTTTCCTTCCCAGGTTCACTAAATTAAAACCAAACCTAACCCATTGCCGTTGAATCAATTCTGATTCACAGAGACCCTATATGACAGTAGAATTGCACCGTAGGGTTTCCAAGGTTGTAATCTTTACGGATACAGTCGACTATATCTGTGGAAAGAGATGATGGAAAAGCTCAATATTATCAGTCGGAGCAAGGCCAGGGGCCGACTGCGGAACAGGCCATCAATTTGATCATATGCAAGTTCAAGTTGAAGCTGAAGAAAATTAAAAAGTCCACCAGAGCCGAAGTATGACCTTGAGTATATCCCGTCTGAATTTAGAGACCATCTTAAGAATAGATTTGACACATTGAACACTAATGACCAAAGACCAGTCAAACTGTAGGGTGACATCAAGGACATTATACATGAAGAAAATAAAGATCATTAAAAAGACAGAAAAGACCAAAATGCATGTCTGAAGAGACTCTAAGATTTGCTCTTGCACATAGAGTAGCTAAAATGAATCCATATTTGTGCTCATTCTAAAGAAAGATGATACGACAGAATGTGGAAAATATCGAACGATACCACTAATACCACATGCAAGTAAAATTTTGCTGAAGGTAATTCAAAAACAGTAGCAGTACAACGGGGAAATGCCAGAAATTCAGGCCCGATTCAGAAGAGGACATGGAAGTAGGGATATCACTGCTGATGTCCGATGGATCATGACTGAAAGCAGAGAATACCAGAAAGATGTTTAGCTGTGTTTTATGGACTATGCAAAGGCATTCAACTATGTGGATCATAACAAATAATGGAAAACAATGCGAAGAATTGGAATTCCAGAACACTTAATTGTGCTCATGAGGAACCTGTACATAGACAAAGAGGCAGTCTTTCCAACTGAACAAGGGAATACTGTGTGTTTTAAAGTCAGGAAAGGTGTGCGACCTGCGTCAGGGTTGTATCCTTTCACCATATTTATTCAGTCTGTATGCTAAGCAAATGATCTGAGAAGCTGGACTATATGAAGAAGAAGGTGGCATCAGGATTGGAGAAAGACTCATTAACAACCTGAGTTATGCAGACGACACAACCTTGACTGCTGAAAGCAAAGAGGTTTTGAAGCACTTGCTGATGAAGATCAAAGACTATAGCCTTCAGTGTGGATTATAGCTCAATATAAAAAAAAAAAAAAGTTGCCATCGAGTCAGAGCGACCCTACAGGACAGAGTAAAACTGCCCCATAGGGTTTCCAAGGAGGCACTGGTGGATTTGAACTGCCAAAAACTTTTTTTTTTTTTTTGTACTTTAGATGAAGGTTTACAGAGCAAATTAGTTTTTAATTTAACAATTAAACACATTGTTTTGTGACATTGGTTGCCAACCCTAGAACATGTCAACACTCTCCCTTCTCAACCCTGGATTTCCCCATTACCAGCTTTCCTGTTCCCTTCTGCTTTACTGTCCTTACTCCTGGGCTGGTGTGCCCATTTAGTCTCATTTTGTTTTATGGACCTGTCTAATATTTGGTTGAAGAGTGAACCTTAAGAGTGACATCAGTACTGAGTTACAAGGGTGTCTGGGGTCCATACTCTCGAGTTTCTTCAGTTTCTGCCAGACCAGTAAGTCTGGTCTTTTTGTGTGTCGGGGGAAACTGCCGACCTTTTGGTTAGCAGCCAAGCTCTTAACCACTGCACCATCAGGCCTCTAGGGCTCCTCCACCCGTTGCGGTTAGAGTTGATTCCGACTCATAGCAACCCTATAGGACAGAGTAGAACTGCCCTACAGAGTTTCCACAGAGCGCCTGGTGGATTCGAACTGCAGACCTTTTGGTTAGCAGCCAAGCCCTTATCTCCTAGGCCACCAGGCCTCCTCTAGTACTTTTTATTTTCAACCTCTAATCCAATCTATCACCAGTACAGTTTAACTTTGGATAGTATTACTCAAGATAATTTCATTTCACGTCAATACCATCACTCCCTATCTTCTGATGACATCTTCTAGAATTAGGATCCCAGGATTAGGATTAGCAAAAAAGGATTAGGAACTCCTGTTCCCTAACTGTTTAGGACCGCCTATGAGTCCAGAAGAGCATAAAATGCCCTTGCTGGTGACTTCTCCATCTCAGATCCTCTGTGGGTCCTGGTGTAACAACGACGGGATGGAGCAGCCGGTTTCATTTTGTGTGCGGGACGCCTGGGCATGCGCAGAGGAGGCTCCAGGGCCCCAGATGCCGCCAATCCCGAGCTCCGAAGATCCTGGTCTGCGTGAGCTCCTTTTCTATCCTAAACTGGGCCAGCTCGCTTGGTACAACCAGCACTTGGAATGCGAACAGTTCTCCAGTCCCTGCGGGCTGCTATGGTGGGCCTGCCCGCGACACGGACCCAGAGCCGATAGCACGCAGAGGCAGGGAGCAGAGTCGCCCGCTCCGTACCTGACGCCTGCCACCCAGGAGAAGTCCGCGTCGCCCCCAGACGAGGAGGAGACCGCTGAGGAGCCCATCACCAGCTCACCTCTGCAGCAGCCCTCGGGCGTGTAGCCCTGCTCCGTGGAAGGCGGATCCCTTGCCCAATGACCAGCCAGCGCTTTCAAAGACTGCTGCCAGTGGATTCGACGCGCTGCATCCACCACCAGTTTTTGGGCGCCAAGGAGCCCTGACATTCTCCCTGAGACCCGTCACTGGATGATGCTCTTGGTGTCATGGGTCGACAATGACGCCGCCGCTGTTGGTTAAATAAAGATCCGAGAAGTTTTGCCTTCAAAGATCTTTGTGAAATTTTCTTTTGCCCTCCTAATAAAATGGTCCGAAAATGCCAAAGTCCTTATTTCTCGAGTCCGTTACTGGTTTGGCGCTTGGAGAGGACGAAGTGAACGGATGCGGGCGGGGGGTGGCTGGTGGCGGTTCTCATGCCGACGCCTCTGGTGCCTGGCTTTATTGTGCGGGAGCGGTTGCCTGTCCTGGGGGGGGGGGGGGGGTAGCGCGGTGAGTGGCCCAGCGTGGCGGGTTGTCAGAGTTGCCGGTAAGTGCTGGGCCTCCAGGCAGACCCCAGGACACAGGACAGACGGCCCCGTAACCCAAGCGACACTGCTGTTCGCTCTGTCCTTCCGCCCCTTCTTCCCTTGGAGTCCATCTCTGGGGACCTCCAGCATCTTCACCTGCCTCTGCCCTCTCTCACGTTGCCCGCCCGCCCGCCCCAACCACAAAGGGTCAGTATCCCTGAGGCTCCGACCACATCTCGGGACGTGCCCCTTCTGCCTCCACCCTCATTCCTTGAGCGTGTAGCCGAGCTGACCTGCTGCAAGGAGCTGGGGTCGAGGAAGAAGGAATTGGTGGCCTGGAGGTGGGAAAACCAGCTACTGGCCCTATATAGTAAGCGTGGCCTTTACGCTGTCCGCATCTGGAGTTGGCATATTTGTTTGTTTTTAGGTTTTGTTTTGTTTTAGTTTTAGTTTTTTCTAGTTTGTGTAGAAATATGTAAAATAGAAATGAAATCATGATATACAAACCTTATGGTTTTATTGTTGTTAGATGCCATCGAATCGGTTCAGGTGCATAATGACCCCATGTACAACACAATGAAACACTGCCTCATTCTGCACCATCCACACAATCGTTGCTATGTTTGAGCCCATTGTTGCAGCCACTGCATCAGTCCATCTTGTTGAGGGTCTTCCTCTTTTTCGCTGACCCTCGACCAGGCGCTGTGGGTAAGAGTTGGGCTGCTAACCAAATGGTCAGCAATTCCAATTCACCAGCCACTCTTTGGAAACTCTATTAGGCAGTTCTACTCTTTCCTATGAGGTTGCTGAGTCGGCATCCACTAGACAGCAGGGGGAGAAGGCGTTGCATAGACAGGCCTGGCATTTACTAGTGGTTGAGCAACAGCATCTGCCCCAGGACAGGCAACACAGCACCGTGGAAGAAGTTCAGCCTTGCTCGCTCAGGTCCTTTGGCCCGGGACACAGACATCAGAGGAATCTGCAGGTGAGGTGACTCAGCCGAGGAACCTGACAGACGCAGGCTGTAGCAATTTCCCCTGGACTGGCCCTCTGGCCCCGGCGACAGACAGCTGGACAACGAGACTTCTGACGGCGGAGACAGTTCCGAGCGACGCTGCCTTTCGCCACGGCTTGGTGGAGCCACCGCCGCGTTTTTGCAGGCTGCTGGGAATGGCTTCGTGGTGTTGTCCATGTCCTGGGGCTGCTGCCGCCAGCTCTTTGGCGCTGAGGACCCCTGCGATGGCAGCGGGATTCTTTTTGGATCTCCCTCTTGGACAAGATTCTTATTACAAACTGGCCCGTTTCCGAAATAGAAATGTTTTAAGATGTGCCTTCAGTGTTAGTTGTTCATTTTTGGTTCTCTTTCTTCTGACATCGCCAGCCTCCCGCGCACACCACGGACAAAAGCGCCAAACCAGCAGTCGGTTGTTAGCGTTTTCGCTCCTAGCACTGCGCCACAACCCGCGGAAGCGCAGCGCCCGCGTCGGTGGGTTCGCAGACCGGACGTTTCTCGGTGTCTTCCCCACTGTCTGTTTGATTCATGCTGCCTCTTGCTGGTTCCCAGCACCGTCAGGCGCTCCGTGTCAGCGTTTTGTCCGTCGAGGCTCCCCGATCCGCGCACCGAGCCGGAAGTTTCTCGTCTGCATCTTCGCTAGGATTGCCGAAGCCTAGCCGGTGGCATCTCCTTGGTGGCAGCGCCGCTCTTTTTGCAGAGCCGGATGTGTCCAGGCTCCTGGATGGCTATTTCCTCTGTGAAGGCACTTGCTGGGACCCAGCAACGCAAGGTGCAGAGGAGAGGGTTTGCGGTCGCAGGTCCCATAAGTGCGCAGGGCTGGCGGTTCCCCTGGATTCTAGCTAGCAGAGGGACGTTGACGGGTTTAGGTTGAGCCAAATGTGCTTGGGTGGCAGCCAGCTCCTTTCATGGATCTGGAAGTTTTTCGGTTGCAGCCCGGCTAGTTTCAACGATAGGGCTGTTGCTCGCTGGAGTACCGCCACGTGCGCCAAGTTTGACCAACCGCCGGGTTTCTCAACGGCAGCACTTTCGTTAGTAACCCATTAGTAGCCAGAGTTTCTGAGGCGTCGCTGGTTGCGCGGTGCTTTCTGGGTGCCAGCGTTACTAGTTTCGCCCTGACGACGCTGTTTCTAAGGTTAGAGCACAGCGATTTGTACCGAGCGCTGTTGCAGTCTGAACTTCGTTAGTAGCGTTGTTGTTGGTAGCTGCCATCCGGTGCTTCTGACTCAGGGCGACCCCATGCGCGTCAGGGTAGAACTGAGCTCCAGAGTTTTCAAGGCTGTGACTTTTCCGAAGCAGATCGCCAGGACTCTCTTCCGAGGCCCCATGGGTGATTTGGGACCCAAAATCTTTCAACTTAACCTTTTTGGCCACCCAAGGAATCCTTTAGTAGCGTTAGCCGGAGTTCGTTCTGTTAGCAAATATTTACACCCACACGGTGTTTTCTCGGTGGCAGGATAGCTAGTTTCTTGGTGACGGGATAGCTTCTAGGGGTACGCTGGCGCTGTCGGTCGAGCTGGTGTGTCATCTGCTACCTCCTAGCGACTGCCAGATCCCAGGGCCGCTACCTCCTCAAACCCACGAATCCGAGCAGCAGCACCAACAGGTGAACCGAGCAGGCGGGTCTCCTTACCACTGTCCCTAGGAACAGGAAACCAGAGCCGGCCGATTCTTGGCGGCAACACCCTTCGTTTAGTGCAGCCGAATGGTTCTCAGTGCCTTGGCTGCTAGGGGCACTGTGCCGGCTCCACCTGGGTTTCAGAAGGCGGTGTGTTTTTACGCTCGGGAGCTCCGATAGGGGCGCCGACCTGGCGGATTCTAGGTCGCTTTGTGGCTAGTTGAGCCCATCTAGCTGTTTCTCCGTCCTGGCTGCCCTGGGAGCCGGCCCCGAGCCTTGCTCCTTGACTTCAGCCGGATAGTTTAGGGTCTCAAACCGGCAGTGTCCCTCTGGCAGCAAAGCTACTGACGTCAAACCAGATGTTTTTCGGTGTCAGAGGCTCACGCACAGCTAACTGAAAGTGTGCTGGGTGGAAGAAATCAACCACACGCGCGATACCGTGAAAGCGAAACGACCGGCACAGAGCGGCTGGCAGGCCCGCCGCAGAGCAAGAGCCGCGGGCGCGACCAGCGGAGCCGAAGAGAGAGAGAGACAGAGAGAGGCGGGGCAGCGCTACGAGCTCAGCACCAGTGAGAAACCGCTGCTCCACTCGAGAAACGGCCGGCTCGGAGAAATCGCGGTGAAAACGACAAAGCACAGGCACCGAGGACTAGCGCTGGTGGGACCAAGAAATCCCGGCCAGAAGCAGAGTGCTCTGGGATCCTGCAAGTGACCACAGCGAGCTTTAGCGGCCTTGCTCACGACACACATCCGTTTGATGTGATCCACGGTGCTGTCAAAAAGAAACGGACAGCTCTGAGAAACTACCGGTGCTCCGACCGACAGACTAGGTGCAATGATGTACTGTGACAGAAAACCTCGCGCCCATCGCTACTAGCGAAAGTGCTAACGCTGAAACAGCTCCGTGCAAATAGCGAGGCTGCGACCATGAAAAAGCCGCCACGGGGAAACCACTGGTGCTAGGTCCGAGAAAGCACTAGCACAGAGAACGTGAAGGTTCGAGACACAGAACTTTTTGGTTGGAGCTACCAGGTGTGCCACAACCAAGAAACCTCCAGCCTGGCGACGCTAGCGACGAAAGTGCGGATGAAAATCCGCGGCTGGCTGTGAGGAGCGCCGTTGCATGGGAGACGCCGTGATACTGGCTTCTAGCGGCACAGAGACCCAGCTGGGAGAAGTGGGCGGGTTTTGGGGGCTCCTGGGCGAACGCAAGACAAGAGTAGAAAGCTGAGTGGTGAGAATTTAAAAAAAAAAAAAAAAAAAAAATTGAAAATCTAAATTACTATTATAAATAATAATTCTAAAATGCAAATAAACCGGAAACAAAATACACTGAATATGTCGATCCCGCAGCAAAACCCAACGGGCGAAAACCTTTCAAATGAGCAATCCATACTTAGAACTTACCCTACAAGAAGAAACTGCAAACACCGTCAAACGGTGCGGTGCTCTGATTACGATACCTCTGGCACGCCTAAGTTCGATCTGTTACATCTAAACTCGACTTCCTGGGACTAAGAAATAGCCAGCTCGACTAAACTGGTGCTTGCTGCCTCTTAAAAAAAAAAAAAAAAAAACTGTTCGCCGGTACACCGGATAACCGAGCACCAGGAAAATGAAAATTAGATTTGGCGGGATGACTGGACAATAACTCAAGAATTAACCCTTATCCCTGAGTGCCCAACTGCCAGTTTGCTTCCCCAATTCCACCACCAGGAGCTTTGGCCTGAGAGTAGCTGACCTGGAACCAGGTAATCCTCAGACCTAACCATGTGTTATTTTGGAAAAGGGCATATTCAGCAAATGGCAGAATCCTCACATTGGTCCCTATCCAAACATTGGAACCTACCCTCCTTACAAGAATAATAAATCAAAAGCAAAACTACATCCTGTAGAAAATTTCTAAGATTTATGCCACCACCAGTGATATGAAACATGCCAGCATGGTGATTTCTTTCATAAACCTCTTTAACTTGCCTGAATGAACAATGTACAGTATGGATGAGTTTGAGAGATCATTTCTGGTATTTTTTTTTTTACTTGTTTTTGTTGTTGTTGAGAATATATACAATAAAACATACACCAGCAATTTTTACATGTATAATTCAGTGACATTGATTACATTCTTAAATCTTGCAAGTATTCTCATCTTCCTTTTCTGAGTTGTTCCTCCCCCATTGACATAAACTCACTGCTTCCTAAATGTCCTCTCTAATCTTTCAAGTTGCTGTTGTCAGTCTGAATCAATACAGATAGATCTTGAAAGAGCACAATGCTCAAGGCAGACATTCTTTACTAAACCAACCCACTGCCATTGAGTTGATTTTCACACATATCAACCCTACAGGACAGACTTGAACTGCCCCACAGGGTTTCCAAGGCTGTGATCTTTGTGAAAGCGGACTGTCACATCTTTCCTCCAAACCAAGGAACCAAATTCCATGAGGTTTTTTGTTTTACATAATAAACTTCAGTAGCTACTTTTTTTTGTTTGTTTTTTCATTGTTGTAAGTATATCTATCATACTGTTACCAATTCAACTTTATACAGGTGTACAATTAATTGATTGCAAATGCAATAATTGGCTGTGCAAACCTACTTTTAATCAATGTGATTTTTCCATCACTATTAACTCCCCCTTACCCTCCCTTCCACCTCTGGTAACCACTAATAAACCTTGGTCTGCTATACATTTGCCTTTTCTTGTCTTTTTATGTAAGTGAGGTCATACAGTATTTGTCCTTTTGTGATTGACTTATTTCACTCAGCATAATGTCTTTAATGTCTTCAAGCTCTGTCCGTATTGTAGTATGTATCAAGACTTCATTTCTCCTACTGGCTGAGTAGTGTTCCATTGTATAGATGTACTATATTTTGTTTATCCATTCAGCTGTTGATGGGCATTTAGGTTGTTTCCACCTTTTGGTTATTGTGAATAGTGCTGTAATGAATACTGTTGTACAAGTCTGTGTTTGAGTCTCTGCTTTTAAGAGTTTTGGGTATATATCTAGAAGTGGAATTGCTGGGTCATAAGTAGTTCTATTTTTAGTTTTGAGAAGCCACCACACTGTTTTCCACAGTGGCTGTACCAATTTGCATTCTCACCAGAAATGGATAATGGTTCCAATTTCCCAACATCCTCATCAACATTTGTTACTTTCTGTTTTTTTCACCACTTGGGTAAAATGTCTATTCAAGTCTTTTGCCCATTTTACGATTGGGTTATTTGTCTTTTTGTTGTGTATGGATTATTATAGACCTATTCAGAGGATGAATCAAATTGTTGCTGGTATTCTAGATTCTATATCTTTACTAGGGCACATCAGCACAGTACCTGATACATGTTATGAAGCTACTGAGATGGTGTTAGGTACATTATGCAATTTCTGTAATGCTCTCAAACCACATGTGTACAAGGCAGTGTTATGTATGTTTCTATGATATGTATAAGACATTGTTATCTTTGCTTCTATAGATGCTCTTAAGCCAGAGATGCACAAATCACTTATAATGTGACTTAAATGTAGAAAATTTCTGAATTGAAAAAAGAGAAACATTGAAGCATGTGAGATCTGTCACAAACAGCCTCCCTAGGTTGGCTTGGTACATGCATGATATGATAAAAGAACAACCTCCCTAAGTTGACTTGGCACATACATGTTCTGTGATAAAGGAAATATAACATGAAGTTATATCTCTGTAAATCATAAACAACACTGCCATGGATTGAATTATGTCCCCCAAAAAATGTGTGTATCAATTTGGCTGGGTGATGATTCCCAGTATTGTATGGTTGTCCTCCATTTTGTGATTATAATTTTATGTTAAAGAGGATTAGGGTGAGATTGTATAACGCCCTTACTAAGGGCACATCCCTGATCCACTGTAAAGGGAGTTTCCCTAGGGTGTGGCCTGCACCACCTTTTATCTTACAAGAGATAAAAGGAAAGGGAAGCAAGCAGAGAATTGGGGACCTCATACCACCAAGAAAGCAGCGCTGGGAGCAGAGAGTGTCCTTTGGACCCAAGGTTCCTGCCTGAGATGCTCCCAGACCAAATGAAGATTGATGAGAATGCCTATAGACAGCTCCTTTGGAGCTGATGCCCTGAATTTGAACTTCTAGCCTACTAGACT